TTTTTAAAGAGCTGTAATTATTTAGTTTGAGTTGCTGCCCTACTAAGGGCATCTTTGTAATATCTCATATTTAAGTTAATTATAAATAGAATGAGGGGCTGGCGGCTAGGGTTATGATACACAATCCTAGTTGACCTTCTTCTTCTTTTCTTCCTCTCCTCTGTCTATTGCTGAAATCTACAACTTTCTCCTCTTTTTCACAAGAAGCTTGACCGAATCAGCACATAAGGCTTTCTACTATTACAGAAGCCGAATTCATGCAAAGCCTCTCTAATTATTCTCTGTTTTAAAGCGGGCTAAGGGTATCGTTCTTTTTCTACTATATGTTGATGATATACTAATTATTGGTGATGACCATGAAGGTATTTCCCAACTCAAGAATCTCTTGTGTCAAGTATTCAAGATGAAGGATCTTGGCTCTCTGACTTACTTCCTAGGACTAGAAGTAACTCGTTTCCCTCAGGATACTTTGTAAATCAGCAAAAGTATGCTATGGATTTGGTTCGGCTAGGTTGCCTCACTGATGAGAAACAGGTGGATACACTCCTCTTGAGATGAACCTTAAATTATCTAAGGATGATGGCGAACCCCTTCATGATGCTACATTCTCTTGACAACTTGTTGGCAGCCTCATCTATCTCACCATGACAAGGCCCGATATCTCCTATGCAGTTCAAATTGTCAATCAGTTTGTTTCTTCTCCCGGACAGCCCCATATGACAGCAGTTCTCAATATCATTAGGTACATCGGGGCTATTGCCTCTTATGAACTATTTTTCTCATCATCATTTGATTTTTGATAAATGAGACGCCACGATTTTTATATTTTTCTCATCATCATCTTTGAATCTGCTAGCCTATGCAAATGATGATTGGGCTGGCTACCCTGACACTAGAAGATCTACCACAAGTCAAAGTGTTTTCCTGCCTCCTGGGTGATTCCCTTATTTCCTTTAAGTGTAAGAAACAATAGACTGACTCCAAGTCCTCCATTGAGGCAGGATAGCAAGCTATGTTCTCTATCTGTAGTGAAATTGTGTGGCTTCAGGCTCTTCTTACTGATCTTTACCTCCAGACTCCTACTCCTATTCCCATCCATGCAGATAATGTCAGTGCGGTCAAGGTTGCCTCTAATCCAGTTGTCTACAAGCACACCAAACACATAGAGGTTGGTTGCTATTTCATCAGAGATCAGTTCCTTGCCAGACTAATCACTCTTCCCTATGTTCTGTCTGGCCTTCAACTAGCTGACATTTTCAATAAGGCTATGGCGCGTCCTTGCCACAAGTTCTTGGCTGACAAACTGATGCTTCTACCATAGCATCAGTTTGAGGGAGTAGAGATACTATGGGCTGATCGGTTGGGAGCACCATTTTATCTTGTACCTTTTTGTACATTATCTTTTATTCTTTCTTGTAAACTTATCTAATTTCTTATTTGTTTTAGCGAAGGGCACAATGGTCATTTTCACTTTTATGTAAACTTTTGATATATAATGCCAAATCTTCTGGGCGTGTAGACGGATTGACACATCCATTCAACTTTTTCCGTCTCTTTTGAACTGTCTGTCAGTAGCTGGTGACCTAAGGAAAGCAGTCACCAAATGATTTCAGGTAGTTATCTGCCAATTGGAAAGAAAAGGTTTAGCCACACTTGATGTTTGCTGGAAACTGAACCAAATATATCATGCCTCTCCATGCAAATAATTATTTTCTGGAGACAACTGAACCAAATATACAAACTACTAGTCAGCAGCTCAAATCTGCTTCAACTAATGATGTATAACGATGCACTTGTCGATATAGAATATTTTATAATTACTAACGATATAACAAAAGATGCCCAAGCACTGAGAACATGAATTTTCTGTGAGTAATCCATAAGAGAAGGTTTTCCAACATTGGATATTACCCAGAGATAATATACAGGAGTTTGCAAAGTGGATTATGTTGAATTTTTTATAACACACAACTAATTTATTCAAGCTTTATCTCAATGCTACTAACACACACAAGCACACACACACAGCACACACAAACACTGTGTTTTTGTAATCAACTCACCTGCAAGAATATGGGAGAACAGTTGTTTGAAGTTTGTGCATGTGATGAACCACTAGCTGGTGTTGAACTTGATGAACGCATGGGTGAGGTTGAAATATTCCCACTTGAAGATTGTCGTGATAGTTCTGGAGTTGCGTTACTATTTCCAGATATTGTTGGCATTCCCATACGATCTGAAAATGGATGACCAAATGCAAGCCAATCCTTTTCCACTAGTGCCTGAAAGACATTACATTCCAACTGTGTGATTTCAGGCAAACCCATATCCAACTAAGCTAGTGACATTGTGGTTCTAACCTAAATTACATTTTGCAGCAAACCAAGCATAAGATGAGGTTGCAAACTAAAAAAACAGACTCAGAATTAATACCTGAAACCCATTAAATGTCCGGTAGTAAGGATCAAGCAGCAAACTAGCAAGTGAGACTAACTGAGTTGTTCTATCCCATCCATCACTATGCAAAACAGTAAGCTTGTCAAAATCAGAAAATCTAGTCCATTCCAAGTTATCTCACAAAGTAAAAAAAAAAAATGTAGAAACACTCGAGGATTGTCAGGGGGAGAAAAACAGTGGAGTGATTTGCCAGAAACCAATAAGAGATCAACATGTGAATGCTAGAATTTACAAGAAAAAATCAACATGTGAAGGCCAGAATTCTGTAAAACCCAAAATAGACAATTAGACATAGATAATAGTTTTAATCTTCTGTAAAATAAATGAGATGGACAAGCATGTTTAGTAATACAGTTGACATAACTTTCTTGCAACATATTACAGAAGCAACTTGAGTAGCCCAAACCTAAATCCAGCCTAATCCATCCCAAACTTTGCATGGGTGGGCTGGAATTTTCAGGTTGCAGGCTGGGTTTTGACCCGAAAAGTTGGAAGCGAATCCAGATCAGTTTGGGCTTGGGTTGAGGCCTCACATAGCCCAGGCTCAGACTGACCAAACTCAAGCCCATCCAAGGAACCATACTGAAATTTAATCAAGTCTTCTTATATAATTTATGCATAGAATATTGTAGGCAGACAGTTCTGGCACACGGTTCACCTGATCACCACAATTTATAGTACCAGCAGCATCATGGATTGTGCCCCCTGATAAAAGACAATAGTGCACCACCCTCCCTGAATGATAACAACTCATGTGTCATGGTTTACAGTGCCAACACCACACTGTTTATAACACCAAATGGAACAATTGCATTCCCACAACCACTAGTCCATGTTAGCAATCAATGGGAAGTTTGTTTTGCAACACTTACCATGGTGCCCCTTACATGGACAAATACATCAGATTGCCATATTATTTTCTGGAAGCCTTGAACCCATACAAATAAGATTAAAGATGATGGAATAATTGCTCTGAACTCTACTTGATACTTATCGAAAAAACAAAAGAAAACAAAACTTGCCCTGAACTCTTAAGAAAATTTTCCAGTTAAGTCCTATGATCTTTGTTAGAGGCCAAGTGGAGAATTTGTGTTAAGGCCTAGATCCTCCCGCAGTCCCACCTGACCCAAGGTATGGACAAGTATATAAGAGGAAGAAGACACCTCAGCAAGCTTGACAGCTCAGGAATTGATTGTAACCAACAGATTCTAAGACTCCCATGTGTAACAAGCCTATAAAAAAGCCATTTTGAATTGGTTTTTTTATCAGCAGAAAATATATTTATTTTATTAGATTTAATTAAAGAAGTAGTTAATCCCCAACTTTCAAGCCCAAGTTATAAAGAATCCCAAAACAGTTGCCTCGTCACAACTGATGTTTTAAAGTGCAGAGGCGTTCCACTACCTAGAGGTGTGAGGCGTAGTTCAGAATGTAAGGAGGAAGAAGAAGGAGGATCTCATTTTTCTTTATTTTTAATAAAAATCTTTTATATTACGAAGAATGAAGGTGCATAGCACTAGTTGAACCCCTAAAACAAATAAACCAAATTGGGCTGCATTGAAAAGGGGGGCTGGGGGGGCTTCAGGGGCAGAGCCCCCAACCCACTTTCTTTCTCCCTTTGTTTTCTTCCCTTCACTTTCCTTTTCTTTTCTTTCTTTTTTTTCTCTTTTCTTTTTGCTTCTCTTTCTTTCTTTTTCTTTCCCTACCCTTTCTTTTCCTTATTTTCCTTTTTTTTCTGTCTTTTTATATGAGGTGTGCATGAGGCATTAGTGTTTTAAAAGCGCAAGGTCCAATTTGCGCCTAAGGCACAAGGCGAAGCACGCACCTTTTTGAAGCATGGCACAAAATTACAAAACAAAATGCTAAAAAAATGTCAGAAAATTCAAAAAATGCCAAAAAAATTAAAAAAAATAAAAACATTAAACATAAGGTTAATAAAAAATATAAACTTAAATTTTAAAATAAATGTTTTAAAAAACCTATTATCTAAAAATTAAAATACATAAACATAACATGCAAAGCATATTCAAATGAAATTTTAAAAATAAAAGCAAACATATAAAGCATTTTCAAGCATGTAAAACCCACAATCTCTTTTTTTCCCCAATTGCATTGATTCAAGTAGCTAACGTCATGTAGAGCATATTGCATTCTTGATTCTATGAGTCACCTTTGTACCACGCCCCTATTTGCTAATGCTGTTCATTCATTCATTCCAATAAAATATCCTCTTAAAAGGCAGTTAAAGTAATAAAACCATTACTTTTTATGTGAGAAATAAGAATTTAAGACCCTAACATGGACTTGTTCAGTCTTGCCTTGAGGGTCGTGGTTGGGAGTTTGGGGGTGGAGCCCCCGGCCCAGTCGTTAGGCTCAAAAAAAGCAAAAAGTGCAGATTTTTAAAAGGCACACGCCTGGGCTGAAGCATATGGCACATCAAGCGCGCACCTAGGTGCACCAGGCGTGCGCCTTTTGAAAGGGGTGCACCTAGGACCTAGGCGAGGCACATACCCTAAAATGTACCTCGCTTGTGCGCCTAGGCGCACCTTTTAAATCACTATGAGGCATATGTCTCTAGCACGCCTCATGAAAAAAGTGTATGAGGCGTACGCCTCTTGCACCTGAGGCACATGCCTCATAGGTGTCAACGCCTCTGGCATACGCCTCAGGGTGTTTTGGGGGCGCCTTGCCTGGAGGGTGCCTCCCACGCCTTTTAAAACACTGCTCACAACTCCTTGTTTGGCAAGGGAATCAGCTAACCCATTTGCATTTCTTCTAGACGGCTTAAGTTCAGCCTCTATACCCTTAGCGATCTTTTCTACTTCCCTTATCACATGTTTAAGAGTCCAAGGGGTACGTCTGTTGCAATTTGCCCATGAGAAAACTACTCTAAATCCCCTTCCACCTCAACTCATCTACCCAACTGCTTTGCTAACCGGAGACCTAGTAGTAGAGCCAACAATTCAGCCTTCAAAGAGTTTCCCAAACTGAGTAGCCCTTAAAACAAGGCCAAAATCTTCCTTTCAAAATTTCTGATTACCCCTCCTATTCCTGCCATACCTGGGTTTCCAATGGAGCACCCGTCAAAATTCAACTTGACTTCATTGCTTTCTAGGGGTTTCCAATCCACTCTTGCTCTATCTTTTTCTCTCAATGAATGTGCTATTTCAGTCCAGGCTCTTAGAATGTCAGTGACTGAGAAGATTTGGACGGTATCCAATGTCTTTACCCATAATGCCACCTTCAATTTTATGCTATCACTTCCTCCAGAGTCCTGCTTTTTTCAGAAAAGATCCTATCATTCCTTTCTTCCCAAACCACCCATCAAAATTCAACTTAATTGTTGATGAATGAAAATTGAGTCAAAACTTACCAAATCTCTCTCCCTCCCTCCCTCTTGTTTCTCTTTTCAAGAGGTTAGGCACCTCAAATCGTCTGTGTTAGGCAGGATCCTAACAGATTGGTATGAGAGCAGAGAAATTCAGGTCAAGATGACTATCACCTGAGCTTCTTCTGTGGAAGATTGAGACAAGATTGAACTGGATCTCCATAAGGTGGTGACAGATCTACAAGAAATGGCAGATGACACAGTGCTGAAGCCACAACAGTGATGGAGAAGGTTCGAAACATAGCAGCAACAAACAAGCTAAAGCGGTGAACTGGAAGAACATAAAGTTGGAGTTTCTGTTCTACACCAGAGAACATCCAGTTCCCTAGATCTACAAAACAAAGCATTACATCGAATTCAATGAGATCACCAGGCCAAGAGAGTTCCTTTAGCATCAATTCATCTTGAATGAGAAGCTATACAGTGGTACCAATGGTACTGGCGCATTCATGGACGTCTTGGAATGATTTCACAAAAACCCTATGCATTCGATTTGGCCCTATTGGCTTTGAGGATTTCAACAAAAGTTTGTCGAAGCTAAAGCAAATCAGTACAATTCGAGAATACCATATCGAATTTGAGTGTCTGGCTAACCAAGTGCACGGCTGTCCAGAGAAAGCTCTATTTGGTTGCTTTGTTGGAAGCCTGAACAAATAAAGTCCATTTGAAGGTGAAAGCCTTAGAACCGGCACAGTCCTGGTCATCATTGTTTTAAGCCTTACAACTAGCATAGACCTCACCACCATTGTTTTAGCTCAAGTACAAGAAGAAAATAGCACTGGCTATGACGAGTCACCAAGGCTTCAGGTTTAACTACTAGACTGGACCCAGCATATAAAGGTGATGGAATCTTGGGCCGACCAAACATTAACACTAATAATCGGCCGACTCCTAAGGTGCAAACCAAGTCTCATTTAAGAGGCTTACCTGTGCCAAGATGCAGGCCTAGTGCGAGCACAGACTCTGCTATAATTGCGACAAAAAAATTGGGCCAGGGACATAAATGTAAAGCCCAACAAGCCTTCCTTTTACAGATAACTGGGCATGAACCCACTGAAACGTATTCAGATATGAGTTCTAGGCCAAGTCCCAATGGTCCTGAATGGAAGTCCTCAATGGACAATGGATCAACCTGAGATATCTCTTCAAGCATTGACTGGGTTAGTCTCGCCTCAAACCATGATGAGAGTACATGGGCTTCTGAAGGGTTGCCATGTGTCCATCCTTGTGGACAGTGAGAACACAGTCAATTTTGTAATGTCTTGGTGAAGCAATTGGGCCTTCCGATACAACCTATTACCTCCTTCACAGAGCACATAGCAGATGGAAATAATCTTCAGTGTGACGGGATCTGTAAGGACCTTAGGCTCAAAATGCAAATTCATCAATTCCAGGTGGACCTATATCCTCTAGAATTCAATGGAGAAGATGTGGTGCTTGGCATACGAAGGTTTAGACTCCTTAGGCCTATCATCTGTGATGGGATCACCTCACGACTGCTCTTGATGGAGTGGATGTCCATTTGAAAGGAGAAGTTCCGAACAGCATCAAACCTCCACGTCTGGCCTCGATTCCTAAGAGTTACCAGCATGCCACATAGGTGACACCCATGCATATTGGGCCACAACAAATTGGACCAGTTTCCTATTCATCCAAAGATCCGCAGAAATCTCTTAGTTACCAGCAGCAACTTCAGGACCTCCTGAAGTATTTCCTAGTCATACTTCAAGAGCCCAATGTCTTGCCTCTGATAAGAACTCAAGATCACAGGATTACTTTAGTGGCAGGTGCAGCTCCTACAAAGAAAGAAACCCAAAAAATGTGGCAGAAAGGTGAATGCTGATATTGATGAGTGGGAAAACTAGTAAAGGAAGAGGTCAAAAATAAAATCAATCAAAGGAACCTAGGAGTAGCTCCTACAGGTGATAAAATTAGAGAAAGTAAATTAAGAGTAACATGCATAGAAGACCATCTACAGCACCCATAAGAAGTGATCTGTTACAAGTTGAAGGGGCTAGACGAGCTTGGAGTGGTAAGAAATGACGTAAATGTTCATAGTTTAGCAATGAACATGCATGGCACCAAACAGAATGAAATGGTGAAGCGAAACAGGATTCATTTAGCTGAACCCATATAGTTGGCATATGGATTTTTTATTTTATTTATTCATTTATTATTATTATTTTTTTCTATAAGGTAGAAGGCTTAGACGATGATGATGACGACCTATTACAATAATTTAAACAACAATTACCAAGTAAATAAATAGCAAACATGTTATATAATTGTTTATGAATGGTAGCACAAAGGCATCAAACAAAGCATTCATACAAACCTGCAATGCACAAGAACTGAGGATGACTCCAAAGCAACACGTGCAGCAATCCAGGCAGAACCAGCTAGAACACTTTGAACATGTATTAGCCACCCACTGTCTCCTAGAGTGGAAACAGAAGCTGACATACTGCTCAGATTGCCCCCACCCCAGGTCCATCCACCATTTCTCTGGTTATTATAAACAACAAAGCCAGTTAAAATTAACATCACAGCCTCCAAATTATTACACATCATTGGAATGGTAAAATGCAATGAAATATGACAAAATTATGACAAGATACTGTTTCAATCTTTTCTCTCTCTAATTGCATTAAAATAATTGCCTATGTAGGGAAAAGAATTCCACTATCCACATCTGACAAGGTTGCAGGTTTTGTGCCAAAAAAAAAAAGTTTTGGTTTTATTGATTTGTGTGCATATATGTCATTAATTGGATGACGGTAGAAAATTTTCTGATCTAAGAAAACACTTTACCAAGACTCAAAGAGTGCCAAATAGAGTTGGTAACTGATAGGTGCATCACATCAATGGCAAAGAGTAGTAAGCCATGAATGCAGAACTGAAACAGAAAGACTCTGAATCCAGGACTAGCCAACAAAAGAAGGGGTGAAGAAAACACAGAAGGGGTGAAGAAAAGATTGAATCAGTTAGAGGCATGCTTGGTTAGACAGATTTTGGACATTAATTGTAGCAAACGGAGGGTTACAGAGTGGGCAGAGAGAGAACGGCACAAGTTCAGTATGGTGAGAATCAAATGATGGAAGTGGTATTTTCCTACTTATGTTTCATTCTATTTTGGTAGTAAATAAAAAAGGAAATTTATTAAGAGAATAAAAAATTACATTATAGGTGATAAGATATCACCCACTAAGAATGACAAAGCACCCAAAAGAAAAATCAAAAACTCCCAAACCAAGAAACAAAAAAAAAAAAAAACACTTTGACCATGAAGCTTCAGAAAATTAACCCATAAACTTGCTTCCAAGTTCCAAAGCATACAACCCTCAGATAACCAATACTGATATGCCCACCCAACAGAAAATCTCCTTAAACAGAAAACCCAAAAGCTGGCACTAGTCATATCAAGGGCTTTAAGCATTCAGCAGGTACTGTAGTTCTAACTCCCGAAGTGCTCATCTAGGGTATTCTTCCCCTCCTAAAACCAATAAACCCAACTTCTTGCTCACTTGGAGACCAGTTTCCACCACCTTTTGCTCAATTTTTCGAACTCTATCCAATTCCATTCCTTCCCCTTGCTCTTCAGCTTCATCAACTTCTTCTGAAGCATCCTCTTTTTTTATCAATAACAGAAAGATTTCTTTATAGAAAAATATATAAGGTTTAAATACAAAGGTGGGGGGAGGTAAACTCTTTTAACTATCCCCCAATGAGAGAATTACAATGTGGCTCAAAATATGTGATTGCTTCCCAGTTCCCACCCCTTGTTTGACAAGTGCATCTGCAAATGCACTTCCATTCCTTGAGTCAGCCACTTGAATTGTCTTTGTTCATCGATATGTCCATAATCCATCATTTGCCTTCCTTAACCAGCCAATTACCACTTTTGAATCTCCTTCAATGATCAGCTGATTAACATTTAGTTCCTTAGCCTTTTTCACCCCCTCTAACAAGGCCAAAATTTCTGCTTTCAGAGAATCCCTAATCCCAATTTGGCCTGAAAATAGAGCTATTACTGAACCTTCCTCCGATCTGAAAACACCACCAACCCCTGATGGCCCCAGATTACCTTCGCTGCTGCCATCAAAGTTGAGTTTGGTAAAGCCTGCAGAAGGTGGGAACCATGAAGGCTGAGTGATGCTTCTGCTTGGAGTTGAGGCTGCTACTTCCTGCCAATTGTTCAAGATGGTCTCTAAGGGAATGTCACCAAACATCTTCACTGTTTTTACCCAATGGGCCACCCTAAATATATGTTGGTTCCTTTCCTCCCAAATTGTCCAACAAACCGCTGGTACACCTCCCTAGGAATCTTCCCCTCTTCATAGTCCAATTGTCAATAGAATAACCGAAGAGGCTTTGTATACTTGAAGGGGGAGTCCACTTGCAACCAAACAAAGAGAGAAACCAACCCCAAATAGGAGAAACAAATGGGCAGGAGATTAGTAAGTGGTAGCAGGATGCTTCTGAAGCTCTTCCCCCAACAACACCCCTTCTTTTTCCAAAACCTCTTCAGTGAAGTCTGCTAATTTTCATAAAAGGAAGATGATTCAGTAAGTTGTACAATGGAAATCTTTAATAGTTAGGTAGCCAAATTAAGTTTGGTATGGTTATTGTTATTGGAATACCTTTCTCATGCCTAGAGCTTGCAAACCTTCAAAATTATAGGGAATTCCATTAGGTATTTCACATTTCTCAATCATGGATGGATGTTCAATTAGCTAGGGTTCTAATTGAAGTTCAAAAACCTAGATCATATTCTAATAGAAGTGAATTTTCCATTTACAAGAGAGATGTATGAGGTTCCTAATTTTATTGAAGGGGAAGATTTGCTCACTCTTGACTTTGATCAACAAAATGAGGTCGGTGCTTGAGAAAGATGGAACTAGTTGACAGGGTAAGGTCACGTGGAACAAAAGTGAGGGAAGTTGAAAAAAAGGGTAAGTCAAAGCTTTTGCTAGACACTTGGATTCATTTGGAGTAATTAAATATGTGTGCAAAAGTTACATATATACATATATATGTATGAATGTGTATAGTTGGACTGGGCTCAGGCTGGGTTTGGGCTACCTAAGGATTGGCCCAGGCCCAGCCCAAAAAATTAAAAAGCCTGACTTATTGGGCCCAACCCGACTCAAGGACTAAAAATCCAAGCCCAGTCCATGTAAAATTTCACGCTGGGCTGGTTCGGGCTCTGGCTAGGCCCACCCAAGTTGCACCCCTATTACAAGCTAGTCCAGTCCAACACTCAACCCTAGTTGAGATGATGCAAGCATGGAAATTAATACCTGTTATATCATTCAATGATGCTGGAAAAACTAGGCCAACTCCCTCATTACATCTTTCTTATGTGAGGCTGATAGTGAATCAGCATATTATCTTTTCTTTTTTTTTTTGAGAATTAATCAGCATACTATCTTTTCAATCAGTCTGATTATGCAATTGGACTCTAAAATCACACTCTCATTGGCACACAATCATGTCCCCCTTCACTGTAGTTAAGGAACAGCAGCATTTTCTTCAAGAGATCTAACTCCTCTAAGATAGTTATGGACTTAAACACAGCTTATGAAGCACATTAGATTTTTGCTAGGGACAGATTCATTGACTTCTTCATAGATCACACATAGAAGGGGGGAAAGTTATTTTCTCATTCCCCATCCATCAGAACAGTACAGTCTATGAATCCTCATGAGAGCTCTCAAGTCATTTTTGATTACTGCTCAAACTAAGGTCAATAAGGTATTTGAAGAGATTTCAAGAATCAGAGGGAGAGATCCTTTTAATGTACTCAAAGTAGATAGAGATGGGCGAACTCTATCCAGGGAGGATCTTTTTTGTGCTACATTGTAACTTGTTCTAGTATATTGGAAAGTTGTACTTAACTAGCTTGGAAAGGTTGCATCTCGTGCCTCTCCTTGGGGACATTGTACTATTTATAATTGCTGATTAATAAGTTTCTTTCAATTATCAAAAAAATATAGTCTTGACTAGTTTATCCACTAAAAGACAAAGCAAAGTCATTCAGTTTAGCCATTTCATTCATTAGCAATTTAGCATACAGCCCCCCAGTAGCCCAATGGTTGGAAACATAAATATGCCAATGATTAGTGGTTCAATGTCGTTTCACAACATTAAATGGAAATGTATCACTGAATCCCAAGTACATAATAAGCTTTCATTTAATAAATCAAGAAAGAAACTATTCATGAATTTGTCTCCCTGCCAATTAAAATTAATCTATCTCAAACGTATTAAGTTAGACATATCCAAAAAAAAAGAAGAAACTGAGCACTTCTAAAATGAAGAGATCATTGAGGCCCATGCAGATCTGACCAAGAATGATGACATTCCATCTGAAGAAGTGGCACCATGAGTATCTACGTAGTCCCTGAGTCGAGCAAAACTATCCCTCATGGCATGGATATTGTCTATTCCAAAGAAAACAATCTGATGAAACCATGAAATGGCATAAATGCATCAATAGAACAATACAAAGTATAATTACATAAATTCAAGGGGCAAGATCCACACAAATAAAACCCAGATAAAAAAAAAAAAAAAAACTCTGCACATGTCAAAACTCAGACCTCAGATTGAAAATAATTAGAAGATGACTCAGAACCACCTCCCATTGCACCATTTGCTAAAGCATTTTTTCTTGGTCTTGCATCAGCAATATAGAGCTTCCTAAGGAAACAACATTCCATTTATTAGCCAAAAAAGAAATAATAAAAGGAAATATGACATAAATGCAAACAAGATGTATCCATTTGGTATATATCACCTCACATGTGTTTCTCTTTAGAGCTATATGCATCTATAGAATTTAGGGTTTTTCTTTTCTTTGTTAGGATTTTAGAATACAGATGGACTCAGCTAGGAGATGATGGAATTTTGTTTATACCAATTTTTACTTTCCACTTAAGGAAAAAAAAAAGGGAAAGCCCAGTCAACAAGGCTCCCGCTAATGCGGGGTCTGTGGTGGAACAGATGTAGACAGCCAAACCCTGCAGATATATAGAGAGGCTGTTTCCACGATTTGAACCCTGGTCACCCAGGTCGCAATGGAGCAACCCAACTATTGTGCCAAGGCTCACCCCCTACTCTCCACTGAAGAAGAGAGGTAAAATCATGTAGAGATGCAAAAGAGCAGCAATCTTGCAGTGCATTCCTGAAAAAAGACAAATGCTAGAATCTTCAAGAAAAATCAAGGAATTTTGGAAGCACTCATTGAGAATATGGTATCAGGGTGGCTCATTGGGTGAAATCACTGAAAGTTGTCAGCATATTCACAAATGATGACATTATTAGAAATTGGCAAGCTGTGATTTGCTCAGCCTCATCAAGGGTTCTCATAAACACTCCTTGCCCCCCCCCCCGGGGAAAAAAAAAAAACTTAGTACCATCAAGTTAAATTTTGATAGCTACAGTTCAAAGAACCAAGGAGCCTCAAGAATTGGGGGAGTTTTCAAACATGTTTGTTATGACTTGTGAGTGGAGATTTAAGTTTCGCAGACCTAGTATGGGAGGGGATTCAAATGTAATTGTGGCTGGTACATAAGAAAAACAACTGGTTCATGGAAATATAGACATGTGATGAGGGAATATAGAAAGTCGGATGGGAAATTGCACGTAGTCTATAGATGGATTCTGATATCAGCTAATACTTTAAGATGGTTTAATTTAATAGGGTGCAACCAGAAGCTAGTTGTATTGGGACTTCATTCCCAAGGTGGGGTTGTTAAGTAGAAAAATAGTGAGAGGCTAGAAAGGACTATCCAATTATTTGGACGCATATAAGTACCACTCTTTTAAAATATTAATAAAGCCTTTTGATTGTTACTGATGAAAAATGGCATAAAATTGAACTGAACAAAATACAATTAAGTTGCACAACAGTCAATAAAAAATAGTGTAAAAGTGAACCTCCTTTTATGTCAAATAGTGGACCTGTCAAAGGTCCCAGGGGAGAGAGCTATATGGTATCATCAGGTACTCTATTAGAATAGGATCCATTTTCTTTTCATTCAAAAGTAGAGACCAAGTTGATGCTTCACAAGGAATTTCGAATAGTTGTTCATATTGACATTTTGATTGAATTAGCTAGAAGAGGTTGAGCAGAGATTCTAAGAATGGTAGTGGGTTGGATGAGAAATGGCTCCCATGGGTCTTAGAGTTAACACCTAGTTCAGTTGAATTCTAAGATCTGCATCATCTACTGATGCCTTGATGATATAGAATAAAGAGGTGTGGTGTCAACCTATTCCTCCAAAGGTGGGAAGTTTTTGTTCTGAAGCCTTTCTGGAAAGAGTTAACACAGGAGATTTGCTTCAAAGAAAAAGGCACAATAGATGTTTGTCTCCTCACTGGTGTGTCCTCTCCAAAGCTGCTGGTGAGTCTGGGTATCGTTTACTAATTTCCTGTCAATTTGCAAACTTTATTTGGGAATGGCTTACTTCTCTGTTTGGGTGCAGGTGGAACTCCCCAAAAAATGTGCAAATCTTGTTTTCTTCCTCTCCTTCCAACTGGCCAACAAAAAGGGCAAAGATTATGTGGAGATGTGTTAGGGCTGCAGTGTGTTGGACTATTTGGGAAGAAAGAAATTCAAAGATCTTCTCAGAAAAGGAGAGAAGTGTAGAAGCAGTGGTAGAAATGACTCATATAAGGGTAATTCCTTGGCTGAAAACCTTGGATCTGTTTGCAGAATTTTCAGTGGATGGCCTGATTAGAAATTGGAAAGAAATTGCAAATTCAGTTTCAGTCAGGAAGGTCTCAAGCTCCTACTGCAAATTCAGCTTCAGTGGATGACCTGATTAGAAATGACTCAAACTGAATTTTGATGGCAGCAGAATGGGTAATCCTGGTCTTCTGGAATAGGGGGAGTTATAAGGGATGAAAAAGGGACTGTGTGAGCCATGTATTCTGGTCCAATTGGAGTGGGAGACTCATTGAGGGCTGAGGTATTGGGCTATTAGCAGCTCTGGAAGGGGTTCAAAGGGCCAAAGACCTGTATATAAACAAGCTGATCATAGAAGGAGACTCTGAGACTGCAGTTAGCTGGCTAAAAGAAAACAACTCTAGGCTCTGGAGCTACAGCAATGAAAAGAGGAAATTTAAATGGCTGACCAAGGACATTGAAGTTCGATGCACATGGGGAAAGAGAAGTGCAAATTCATTTGCAAATGGCTTAGCTAGGCAAGGGGTGAATAAGAGTTCTGTTTTTTGGGCTCAGTTGTAATTGCTCGTATTTTGGGTGTACATTGACAGTTGTGGAGAGTTAAGATATTTTAGCTCCCCTCTCTTGTCTTATCTTTTTTCTTAGTCAATTAATGAATCTTCTGTTATTGATCAAAAAAAAAAGATATAGAATAAAGGGAAAAGCCTCCAAGCTTCACATGATAGGTAAGAAAGGCGGGATCTGAATAGGGTAAAGAGATGCAAAATAGAAGGTGTAGAGATGGTGAGCCAAATGGGCCTTAGTGTCTTATTTTCTTATTGGGCCTATTAGTTTCTTTATTTATTAGCTAATGGGCCTTAGTTGTGGGGTTTCCTTCTTTGTTTCTTTGTTATCAGTTCAGCCACCCTACCAGGGGCACCCTTGTAATTATACGTTAAATTATAATCAATTCTAATAAAACATGATTAAGGGACTGAAGAGAGACACGATCAAGCTCTCTTCCTCCTCCCTTTTCTTCCTCTTCCTCTTTCTCCTACACTTCTCTTTCTTTTATTTCTTCTTCTCCGAATTCAGAATTGCTGCTGATTTATATTTCATCTGAAGGGTTTCAGATCTGAAACATAGAAGAGAATAAAGAAGAGAAAGTGAAGACCACACTCTTAGAAGAGAAAGTGAGGGAAAAAAGGAGGTTCACCTTATAATATTCAAACTTTAAACTCTTATATCATTCATTTAGCCCATCTCATTCTATTACAGTTGTAGGCCCTTTAAAGTTGTAGGGATTAGAGATAGGACAGCTCCTATGATAGATTCTAAAATAACTAAAGATATTCCTACTTTAACTAAGACCCAGTCCCATCACAGACAAAGGGTTTTTTTTCTGTTTTGAGATATCATATATCAGCATCAATACATACATATGGGAGTATGGATGTATACAAGTTAATCCCTGTAGAACCACTAGTTGTATACAAGTTTCTCAGAAAACCAACAATTTCAGCTATTAGTGTTGCTTATACAAAGATTCATAATTTAAAAATAATGGAATAGTTTCCTGCACTCCTTACAGACCAAGACCCACAAATAAAATGTCCCAATGGCCTTGCCCACAATCTGCACCAGATTAGTAGTTTTCTCTCAAAGCTACATGCATTTGTTTCTTCCTGAAGTATCCAAAGCATCACAAAAAGGAACAAAGCCTGCAGAGCCTTGTCCCTCTTGTCCAAGACATTCACCATCCAGCAGAGAGACTCCTTATAGATAATGGAAAGACACATTATGCCCCAAAAAAATGTTTAAGAAGTAGCACCAAAGAAGGAATGCTGACCACACAATGTAAAGACAGATCTGCCATCCTTCCACATAGGCCACACGGCATATCCTGGATTGGCATTCCACTCCTTATCAACTGGTCTATGGTTAACTATTTCAAGCACCGCCATCAAAACCAAGCCTAATACTGTTAATCCAGGTAAGCCTGTATTGGTGTGAATATTTTAATAAATTCTCATGCAACATAGTTCACTCAATCATGTGATTAAGTTTTTATTATTTTGGGTAAGGCCCATTCAGGGAATCTAATGGATTGTTCCCCTTAATTACATCTCCACAAGAAAGTAGAGAGCACCTTTTGATTCTGATTTAGAGAAATGAAAGCATAGAACAAAAGAAAAGAACAATAGAGTACTTCTTAAAAAGAACTTTTCATTTGCATTTCTTTTACATGAAGTGTACAAGAAAGAGAAGAAAAAAAATATACAATTGAGAAACTCCGCAACAATACATTTTTTTTTTGATAATTAACTCTGCAACAATACATTTCTCTCTTTCTTTTATTTTTGATACAAAGAAGATTTCCTTCTCACCCCTTTCTTCACAATAAGTTGTAGTCAATCAGATGAAATATTGATTGTAGACAGACTTAATCCTCTAGATTTTGTATACAAGAAGGGAACTGTAATCAATCAAGTTGAATATTTAATTGTAGACGGTTTTTATCCCTCTATTCTTCATTTTCTTTTGAAGGGAACCATAATCAGCCCTTGGGAATTAGACTGTAGATGGTTTAATCCCTAACTTGTCTTGATAGAGGGACCATATTCAACCAAGTAAAGGTACCTGGTCATAGATGGTTTATTTCCCTCTATTTCCTTTCTTAAAAGTAAAAATAAAAGAGAAAGGAAGAAAGATACATAGCAGAAGACGTATATAGGAAGTATTTACAGAGAGGACTTTCCTTTAACTACTTGTATTAGTGAGATTTCTTTTCCTTCCCTGTCTTCCCTTGAGAACTTCTCTTTTCTTCTCTCTTTATCTTGGCTTTTCTTAAGAATCTCTAAGAGTGGTATGCTTTGAGACACAATTTTCTCCGAAGAGGAGGAGGCCACTTCTAGCTTCTCCTTAAGGACCTTAAATAGGGAGTGGGGTAGTTATGCAACTACCCCGTCCCCCTAGGTGAAGGATACCTGTCCCTCCCACTTAAAGAGAGGGAACTCCCAGACGGGATACCTTTTTTTAGTTTTGATGATTTAACTAGCACATTAGCCAACCCACTTATTTGGGTTATAAATTATTTAAATATTATTTGGAGTTCAAATATAATTCTACAACAGCCTATGATTTCATCAATGCATCTAATCTTTGAATGCCCTCTTTTTGGCTTTCAATCATAACACTAATTCCACCATAGTTTCACATTTCCTTGTTAATGAATAACTTCAAAGTCTTGAATCTTGTTGAATTGCTTCCATCTTGAGGAACAATCTCACATAAAGTTCTATGGATAAAGAAGGAAGGCACGACGCCATCTGAGTGCAAAGTGGATGAAATAGAAGATAAAAAGGAAAAAACAAGTAGATAGAAGAAATACAAGCTTACCTCCGTGGTCCCCTCCCACCAGCTGTCTGAGTGCAAAGTGCAGCGACAAGCTTTTCATCAGCATTGCTGCAAATCAATGCAGAGAAGTGGATCAAGGAAATCTCAACCACAATATGAAATGAAATAAGAAAAATTTGGGTGGTTATAAAACTGATTCAGTTAGGCAGAATATGTAATACAGTCACTTAAAGACGAGTTCTCGACTAACAGCTTCAGTCTGTAGAAGTTAAATGAAATAAAAGAGGCCCATAACCTTCCACTAATCAAGAAAATCAACAAGAGTTACCTCCTCGTATTCATCATGAGACCAACTAAAGGTTGAGAAGAACGTGCAAGAACAGCACCAGTTCCTACAACACATCAGAAGATTTTACAGTAGAAGAAAAGTTGTATGTCACATTGGCTAAATAACAGAAGGCATTATATGAAAACCTGGATGACACCACGAAATTACAGGCAACCGACACCTTGCACGAAAAGTAGAAGCCTGCAGCACTTCTTCATCACTAGAAGTAGCATCCCAGAAAGTAATTAGAATAGGAAAGTCTTGCATAAAATTCTAGGGTTTCTTGTAGAAAATCTGAGCAAAAAGTTTAATTTTGAGATTTCATGAGTTCGATATCCTACCTGATACTCTTAGGGACAATAAAGGAGAATGGATATGTTGGACACATTGTGTAGTTGGAGTTCACCCCACTTACTCTCCACCATTCATTGGACAGACAAAAAGTTCTATCTTCAATTGTACGACTTGATGCATGATAGGATCCTTTTCCAAGAAGCCGAAAATACTCGCTCAATAACCTTATCCTTGGGTTGGTACCTTTAAATTTGGAAGGTGCACAAGTGAAGGCATAAAGATCCCACAATCGTGCTGGCCTTGTACACCTTGATAATGCAGCAACAACAGAACGCCTCTGCAAGAGTTAACATTACCATGTATAACAACCAAATCAATAGACTTTATATGGAACAAAGGACTAAAAAGCTTGCATGTTTAACAAAAAAAAAAACAGAACACATTTTTCAGTGTTTTTAAAAAAGAAAAACAGATGAAAACATATATTTTCAGTCTACTTATGTTCACTAAAAAAAGTTATACATCAACCATGTAAATGGAAATTCCCAATACAGTACAATAAGGATATTCAGATAATGGAGAAACTGTTCCACGATAAGACTCAACTAATCATCTTCTTATCCATTTCAAGTGTCCCTCATAGTTTTCAAGGCGTCTAGGCGATTCTGGGCGACACTGGGGCACCTAGTCACCTAGTCGCCTAGGCGATAAAAAATTTATAATATAAAAAACTGACTTTTGGCTAGTTTCCTAGTTTTATATACCATTCAGCATGTATGTTAATTGAAAAATAGCAATTCTCTTTATTAAGAACATTAAATTTCCTCTAAAAATGTGGCAAATCATCACATCTAAAAGATAAAAATCTTTTACATGTAATTAATTTCATTATTTTAAAAAATAA